GATAGAAAGAAAATGAGCATAGATAGATAGATAGATAGATAGATAGATAGATAGATAGATAGATAGATAGATAGATAGAAATAAAACAATCTAAGATAGATCCGTAGATATATATAAGCCTACTGAAACAGGTAGGTATGTACAGACAGATATAGATAGATACATAGGAACAGACTGAGATAGATAGATAGATAGATAGATAGATAGATAGATAGATAGATAGATAGATAGGTTGGTAGAAAATGAGCATAGATAGATAGATATGAAAAGACTGAGATAGATTGATAAACAGAAATAAGCATAGATAGAGAGATAAATAGATTTGTACAGATAGACAGTGGTCGCTTGAGGAAAGGGAACTGTCATCTCAGATAATCTTAATAAATGAAACTCTTTACGTTATGATGCGAATATTTAATTTACATTTGTTATGCTATTATAATATTTCCAAGAATAAAACCAAAAGTAATGCCCCCGCCCCAAGATTTCAGTTCAAGAAATAATAGTAAGTTTCAATGGAAAGAATTTTCTTCGATAAGATGTTGTAGGCTGAAATTCAGTGTAAGATGAGTTCAAAGAAACTTGTTGATTGAGAGAAAATGTAATCTTCACTTGAATATCAAAAAGTTGTATTTCATACTAAAAATGTAGTTTTTAGTTTTAAACTTTTGAATTGAAATCAGCATAAGTATATGGAAGTTTTTGCCGCTCAAATTCGTTCACTGTAGAGAAATGACATCGGTTGGGATGAATTGAGTCAGCGTGTTCTGTGAAGCTGAGATTATGTTAAGAAACTTTCAGCTCCAGTAGATGTGACGTAAAATTTCTCACTGGTAAAAACTGATAAGAGTCGAAATTTGTATTCTTTCGGGCAGTATGTTTGTTGCTGAAGAAAATCTCACAGTTAGACGTTGATAAGTTTCGGTTTTTTGCAGTTGAAGGAGTGACACAATGCCACCCCCAACAATTTTTTTTAACCAGGCTAAGGTGTCAAAAATAGTCTGAAAACAGTGGTGGAGACACAGGGTTTCGTAGGCTGGCATATGACCCCCCAGAAATAATTTATGACCCCCAAGCTTTGTCCCCCCGTCAGAAATTTTCTAATAAACTGTCGGGAAATTTCTGAGTAAGAAAAATAGCAATGTTTTCAGCTTTTGATTTGAACTGATTATTTTGTGGTATTGGATTTTGTCTAGGATCATACATGTAAACAGTAACGTAGCGATCAGTAGAGTAAAGTAGAGGTAGAGCATGTATGAAAATTTAGCTACAGCTAACCATTCAGCATAGGGTGAATCGGGGTCATTGGGGTGACATTTGAGCGGACCGCCCCGGGTGACGTTTACTCTAGCCACTGGTGCAATGTTCGTACGTACGAGTGCGCGCGCGCGTGTGTGTGTGCGTTTGTTATAGTGTCTCCCCATAAGGGACAGACGTAATCTCTCTAACGCTACATCTTGTGTATGAGATAAGGCAAAAGAGGAAGAGCTAAAATTGTGTCCAAATATTTATAATGCTTGTTATCACGTGATAGGCTCGAAACACATAGGCAGATTTTTGGTGGTAAATTAATTTTAATCCTGCGGACGTAGACGAAAGCATGATATTAGCATTAATTGACCAATCAGGAGTCAGAGAAATATCAAGGCTCTGTGATCCATTTTGGTGTTTAGTTTGTACAAAAATTGGCGTAAAAAGAAAGTGGTAGCAGAATGCTAAATAATGGCTGGCTACTTTCGTATTCCGAGCACACCTGTCTGCTCGGGCGATTTGCTAAACCCTTTCGCAGACATCTGTTCAGGAACATTTGTGTTTAAATATTTTTGCAGGTGCACAAAATTTTATCAGTGCAATAAAAACAGATATATTAAAAGACCATTCACAACTGTTATGGTAATTTAACCACGCACTTATGGACTCTCCCACCTATAAATAGGAGCAGGTACTGCCTTTTGGAGAGGGAAGTTTCCAGCAGTCAGCTTTGAAAGTCAAACCGAACATTCTTGCTGTAACACTCTCGTTTGTATATATTTGCATTACTGTTTCTGTTAATATACTTGTTTAATTCGATTTCTCTCTTGTGTTTTTATTTCTGGCCCTAACAAGGCACAATAGATAGATAGATAGATAGATAGATAGATAGATAGATAGATCTGACCAATGAGATAGATAGATAGATAGATAGATAGATAGATAGATAGGGCTTTGGTAATTTACCCACACACGCATGGACTCTCCCAGCTTTAAAAGGAGCAGTTACTGCTTTTGGGAGAAGGAAGTTTCCAGCAGTCAGCTCTGACAGTCGAACCGAACATTCCTGCTGTAACACTCTCATTTGTATATGTTTGTATTACTGTTTCTGTTAATATATTTGTTTAATTCGATTCCTCTCTTGTCTCTTTATTTCTGACACTAACAAAGGCGCGACAATAGCAAAAAAGAAAGAATTCATAACATAAAAGGTGGGGCAAGAAATATATATAAATATATAAATATAAATATAAAATATAAATAATAAATATCTATATTGCTGCAAATAGGTAATATCAAAATTATTCTGACTATTGTCCTCATTTTTGTCGCCATATTTATCACAACGTTTCGGCCGTTGTACGCTCCGGCCTTCTTCAGGCTTCGAACTGAACCCTTTATTTCGCTCACTGGGGTAGACTGCCATGTTTAATGGATGTCAGTTATCTCCAGTTAATTTCCCTCTAAAAGTTCTCCACTGCCTTAACCGGGTATTAAACTCACACTCTTTGGGTCCTGTATCTAACCAACGCCTTTATCCACTGTACCATGTTCCCTTGAAGACATCTGGGTATGAATTTCTGGGTATGAATTTCTGGGTATTATAAACCTAATGTCTTCAGCAACCATTTTTACCAGTGCTCATATTGCAATTTTGCTGTTATCATTCCATGTTTTTACTAGAGCTCATATTGCAACTTTGTTGTTATCATTGCTTTTCTCTGGCACTCCTTATTACTGGTTCCCATATTGTATTTATTTCTATGCTTGGTCGGCTCAGGAGATTTTTGTGGCCTAGCATATGTGCTGATTCCTTAAAATATGATTATTAAAAGCACAGTTTATCATTTGTCACTAACCAGGCAAAACTCGAGAATAAAAAGATGTGCACAGCGATGAAAAATGTACAACCCCAGGCTAATGTTACATGCAAATAGAAAATATAACATTAAAGACTGATTACCTTTAAGCATACCCGCCACTTCTTCTGCTAAGTGAGAAGAAGTGGCAGGTAACTAACTCAGAGTGCCTACATGTGCTTTATACTGCAACTATGCTGTGATGGTCTGCAGTTTAAACTATGCCAGTACACTCAAAAAAGAAAAACCCTCGGTCACGATGACTTTTGACTTCGTGCTAGCACAACCGCCAATAGCTTCCGAGCATTTCTGTCTTCTAACGTTATTCCATAGATAATATCCTGGTTAACTTCCTGACAAATCGACCCTGGTGAGATTCGATCTTGCGTCTCGTGGTTGGAAAGCAAATGTTCTAACCACACAGTCACATATCTCGACGTTCTGTCTATGAAATCTTTTAATTTTTTTCAGATTTCCGAATTAGAGTTTTTTACGCAATCGGCAAATTTACCAAAGTTCATATTTATTTTTATTTTATATCATTTTCGCCCGAGTACTTTTGAATGTTGCTAGATTCATTTTCAAGGATTGTGTTTCGTGTATGTGTACGTAACTGTCTTTGGTTAATTCCGGCGTTCTAATGTTTATTGAAACCAATTTCAAGTCAATCAAAGTGAGGTCATTTAAACTAGACATTGTTATGTGTATTTTTTATACACACTTCAATATGTGATCCTCTGTGGAGAAATACCTTGTTGTTGTCTGCTTCTCTTGTATTATAAAAGTCTCCAGAATTTTTGAGTCTTTCTTTACATTCTGTTATATATAAAACTTTGGTGTTATCTACTAAAATTGGTCATATGTTATTTGTTATATGCTGGGTTATATGTGCACGGATTGCACAAGATTTTGAAAAATGACAAGTCAACAAACGAGAGGGTAGAGGAAAACAGATGTCAATTGGCGTTGCATTTAATTTTTTGAAGATTGTGACATGGAAGCAAGAAATCAGAAGTGAGTTTCGCAGGTGAGAAGTGATAGAAAAGAAACTATTAGAATAGAAATGGCGGTTGCATCTAACTATTTCAACAGTAAAACAGTGAGATCGAGTACTCAATCTAGTAGCATCCTTAAATTCACGTAGTCGAGGCACTAAGGAAAACCTTTCATCTGAAAGGTTATTATGAAAATAGTTGAAGAAAAGATAAAGGAAAGACATGTCACGCCGGTGAGAAAGTGACTGAAGCCGAGACATTTGGTTAGGATTGATTAAAATTACAGATCTTTCTTTGAATTTTGAGTGATTTCCCATTGCCTATCGTTATGCATTACTTGGAATTAAAAATTTCCCTTCTCTTAGAATAATTACCACTCAAGACTAAAGAGGCCAGTTTACACTGTAATTTAACACATAGATAAGAAAAATAGTCATGTTTTTCCCAAGAACATCCGTGCGACAGTAACCATAACTGTCTAACGTTTCTACTTCCCATGACGATTTTCGTTACACTGCTCACACATCCTACATCTTAATGATATCCATTTTGTAAAAGAGGCAAAGAATCCACTTGTGGAATCTTCCACGTCAGCCAGTCACCCCTGCGTGGGTAAATAAACTATTCCCTGTAAGTGAATATATGACAGCATTCATTGGTTAATCTACTCAAAACTAGCTCGCTGATTGGTCAGTTCTGACCAATCAAACCGCCTGCACGCGACAAATCAGTTTTCCCGCTCAATATGCTCTGAGCCTCTCACGTGGTACAACAAAATTATAAAAACAAAACACGTGTAAACTCTCTCTCTCTCTCTCTCGCGCGCGCGTCTCATTCCTTGATGCCAAGATGTAATCTTCAAGAACTCCCGTCTTAACTAATACAGTCAGACGTTAAAGACCATTACCAACATTCACGCAAGTACGAACTCTGAAATCTCTTCTGAACTTTTACCAATTTGTACAATACCCAATTCCAAACATGCTAAAGAAACTTTATTCTTCTAAGCTACAGTTTAATAATCAACTTCTTCTTTATGAGCTCAGGTACAAATATTACCTAGTCTAAGAGACACAATTCTGTCTAACCTTTTCAGTTCACATGCATGTACATCAAATATTTAATAAATTCAATTGTTACGTTTTGAGACAAGATGTTTATGAATCATTATTCTCTGTCTTGTATTAATTGTTGTGGAAGATTATTGAACACACACAATTTTAAGCCTTCTGATAATTCAAACCTTCTATTCCTCTCCAAGACACATCACACATCCTCAACACACTAATCCAACTTTAATTGGGGAAATATGTTACATATGCTTAGGTGTTGGGTCAGCAAGTTCCTTTAGAAGGACTGTTCCTTTTCTTTCATCAGATAGCAGCTCTTTTCTTGTGTCTCCCTTGGTAAGGAAAACCCCATGTTGAATAAAACTGTTTATTTCTGTTGTAAGGTCAAAAAGCTATCTCCCCTTGACCCAAACGAATTTGAAAAACATAATTATAGATATTCACGAGGATTTAAAAAAAAAAGTCACGTGACCTGACGAGACCTACATGCGACATTGTTAGGGGGGGGGAATCAAACAGCCTCTTTTAGTTCCGGGAAGTCAATGTAACAAGACGCATGTAATTTGGGCTTATGACAAATCCAAATAGATAAGTACAAAAATTCATATTCTTTTTTTCGGTGCATAATTTGAAAGTAGATACATACCAACTTTGTATTAGGAATTACACACACACACTCACACACACATACACAGACACACACACAAAACATTATATATATATATATATATATATATATATAATATATTTTTTAAAAATATGATTCCAATTTTAAAAATAATAACAAAAAATACTAAAGAACTTTGGATTCTTTACCTAACGAGTTCTTTCCTATTTTCTATATACACACACACACACACACACACACACACACACACACACACACACACACATATATATATATATATATATATATATATATATATATATATATATATATATATATATTAGTGGTAAATATATACATACATATGTAAATATATATACACATAGGTACATCTCTAAATTCTATTTTATTTTCCGGGGTTGTTTTTCTGTTTTCTTTTTGAATTTGTAGGTCTGATGAATTGGATCGTATTTACGATTCCAATGGAATAAATTATGACCATGGGATATTAGTGTTTAAGCCTTTTTATTATATATATATATATATATATATATATGCAAGTGTTTTTAAACAAAGATATCTGTCTTTTATTTGAATGTTTCAGATGTTTATGTTGTTGTATGTTTGTAGTGGTCTAGTTGTTTCAGACGTCAGAGTCACCATAATGTAGTGACTTGGTAATAAGGATGTTTCAAAGAGAAAAGTTCTTGTTGCATGTTTGGAAATGTTCTGTATGTTTGTAATGTAGGTTGGAAAAGTTCGTACGTACGTGCATGCGTGAATATGCATTTAACGTCTGACCTCCCATGGTCGAGACGAGAATCATTTTGGGATTACATCTTGCAGCAAGAAGAGGGAAAAGAGAATGAGCGAACTCGTGTCTGCAATTTATAGATAATATAATCACGTGACAGGATCAAGCTCGCTGTGCGGGAAGAATTATTCTTCACGTTCAGACGATCTGATTGGTTGGCATTGACCAATTAGAAGCTGATATTTTCTGAAAATATATACTAAGCTGAGAAAGCTCTCTGATCCACTTTTTTTTATAAGTAAGTGGTAGCAGGATGCTACATGTTCATTCATTTTGTAAATGAGGTCGATTTTTATAACCACGCGCAAGACTTTTTCACAGTTTTTGTCTTAATACGAGAATATAAAAATTGTTCAATTTACCACAAGATCTGTTGACCGAAAAATATTTTTAAAACATCAATCTGAAAACGTTTCAGTCTATAGAGAAATTAAAACAAACAAGACCAAAGAATTACAAACTATAAAACAAAGAGTATACTCTTTAATTATATAAATTATTAAAAATAATGAATTCCAGTCTATATCACGCAAGAAAAAAAAATTTTTTCAAACGACTTTAACCAACGTTGTAATTTGCAAAATCATTCTCTGTTTGGCTTGCTTTGGTTACAAAAAGTCAGATGCGTCGATT